TTAGACAAGGAGATCCAATCTCCCCATATTTGTTTACAATTGCTCTAGAACCGTTGACAGGGATGTTGGATGCTGCAGCAATTGAGGGTAAGTTGCCTTATCATCCTCAGTGTAAGGAGCTAAGGTTAACACATCTATGCTTCGCAGATGATTTGCTTATTTTTACTGAGGGATCGATGAGGGCTTTACTACAAGTCAAAAGTCTTTTAGATGATTTTTACTGGTTGTCTGGTCTGAAGTGTAATCCACAGAAGTGTGAGGTCTTTTTTGGGGGACAAGCTATACAGTATAAGGAAAATGCGATCCTAGCTACTGGCTTTGCAGAGGGAAATCTGCCTGTTAGGTATCTTGGGGTGCCTCTGACTTCTAGGAAATTGACAAGTAAAGAATGTGCTGTTCTGGTGGATAGATTGACAAGCAGGATCCGAGCATGGAGGGCTAGTAAGCTGTCGTATGCAGGCCGTCTGCAGTTGATTTCTTCTGTGCTTTATTCTTTATGTCAGTATTGGATGGCTATTTTTGTGCTGCCTAAATCTATCATTGTAAGCATTCAGAAGATATGTTCTGATTTCTTATGGCATGGAGAAGGGACGGGTAAGGCAAAAGTGGCATGGGAAATACTGGCTACCCCAAAGAAAGAAGGGGGTATGGGGCTAAGAGATTTGAGGACGTGGAATGTGGCTTGTATTGCTCGTCTCCTGTGGCTGTTGTTTGTGCAGGGGGGGAGCTTTTGGGTAGCATGGGTGAGCAAGTATAGGCTGAAAACCCATTCTATTTGGGAATTACAGCCTACTATGTCTGGCTCATGGTTGTGGAAACAGTTATTGAAAATGCGAGGATGGTACCAGTACAGAATGGAGTCTAATTTGCAGCATGAGGTTTTCTGGGAAGGAAGGATTATGAAAAAATTCTCGATCCAGCAAGTCTGGGAATCTATCAGAGTGCAGAAGCCTGTTGTTCCTTGGTGGAAGGTAATTTGGGGTAAGTATACTTTACCTCGCAATAGAGTTTTAATGTGGCTCATTATACTGAAACGTATTGTGACCCGGGATAAACTGAAGCAGTGGGGGAAGATTACAGATGCTGCTTGTGTGCTTTGTGAAAATGAGGAGGAGAGCCATTGTCATTTATTCTGTAGATGTGAGTACACTGGTTACTTGATGAGTGTTTGGTTCTTTGTTGACTGGTTGGGGGACTAGTTGGGAGCAGTTGTTGCAGGAGATGTGTCTGCTGGCTAGGAATAGTAGAGATGGGCCAGTGTTAAGTGCGATATGGTGCTGGATTTGTAGCTTGGTATGGAAAGAACGCTGTAAGCGTGTGTTTGGGGGAAGTCCAAGAATTTGGGAGATTGTTCTTCTGCAAATGAGGGAAGAAGTCTTGTTTTTGGCGCATGGGGACCTGAGATTTCAGGAGGCCTTGATGCGTAGTCGAGTGATAGGCAGTTTACATCTTCAAATTTGAGTTTTGTGCTGCTTTGTTAGTAGGATGTACATCTAAGTTTTTGTGCGACTTGATTTTGATCAAGTGAGCTTAATGAGATGAGATAATTACCGAAAAAAAAAATTATATACGATCCTAAATGTGACGTAATAAACCTTTACAACATGATGTATGATAAGAGAATAAAAACATCACAAGCGAGTGTGCTAACTATTAAATATTTAAAAATTTCGATATAGGCATACCCCATATTCACTTATGAAGCGAGAGCATAAAATGTATACAAGATCCAAAACGTTCAAACATGTAGATAAGTTAACTAATATATATAATAAAATGAACTTCTCCGGCCAACTGGCCGGGTTAAAAACTATATAATATTCTGGCAATTCAAAAGTAAATGTTTGCCACATAAGCAATTGGAGAGTTCACAAATTGCCTAGATGGACTATTTTTTTACAAAAATAAGTTATTGATATATTCATGAAGATATCTCTCTTCATTTAATATTTTATTTTTTTGTATTATATTAATGTACACATTAATAGATAATGGATGAAGAATGACATATATCACATTTGCTATAACTCTTTTTTAATATTTATTTTCTTTTATCTAATAATTCATTTTTGATTTTTTAGAGTGGCACACATCACATTTTTTTAAACCCAAAAATATCTGATTGAAGTTTACTAAGAAAATTTTTACTCATTTTACTAAAATTTAAAAATATATTATATTTTGATGAACAATTTAAACAAATATACATAAATATATTACATCTTAAGTAGTAGATTAAGCAGAGGTCTTATTTCTTAAAAAAAAACTTATTCATTCTTATTAAGTGAAAGCATAGGAATCACAGGTGAATTAATTTATATTGTATCATAAGTTCACATTACTAATATTTACTATAGATCATGTTGATTAAGTAGAGGTCTTACGTCATATATATGTCATTCTTCATCCATTATCTATTAATGTGTACATTGATATAATACAAAAAAATGAAATATTAAATGAAGAGAGATAGCTTCATGAATATATCAATAATTTTTTTTAAATATATAGATAAATGCTAAGATTTTCAGACTTGGAGTTATTAATTGTCGAGGATTATAAATCAAAGTTTTTAAAATTACTTAAGTATGATTGTTGACAAACTTTGACTTTAGATCCTAGGATGAGACATGAGATGCCTTGAAAAATGACACGTGTGAAAGTTAGAGAAATATTTGATAAGGATGCACGTTAAACATTTTTTTTATCAACCACTAACCTAGGAATTAATCAAATAAAGTTTAAATGTTTTCATTTAATATTTGAATGTCTTGGTAGACAAATCCAAATTCGACAATTGAGGCAATAAATAAACATTAGTTTATTATTTGAGATATCTAAACCAAAAACCTTTATAGTTACAAGAGTCTAAACCGATGTATTGGGTTTAAATGAAGAATTTTTTAATAAGGATGAGTTCAGTAAGACAATTGTGAGAAGTCACTGGCTATATGGATATGTGCGAGTGATTCCATACCAATTTTTTGTTGTAACAAAACTTTTCCCATATCGAAGTCTCAAAATAAAAATATTTTAGTTTATAAGAGTAAGGAATTTGTATTTACATCGATTTACCCGAGCAAAAAAAAAAAACTTTGTTTTCATATTCCACCCAATGAGCCGAGTTCAATGGTATCATTAGGGTTGAAAGTACTATAATCTCTTTATTAACAATAAATGTGCCTACAATACATCCAAGAATTCAAATGCATGTGAAATGACACAATGTTTCTATGAACGAACACCAAAGATAAAAAAAAAATAGCGAATGAACATTCAAACATTTGGAAAATTATATATTGGAGGACCATGTTAAGACGAGAATCATCCATAATTTATGTGAAAGTCTTGGATTGAGATTCTAAACCAACATCTAGACAACAACCATGGGTTGAGGGTTAGTCCAAACTTAAAAAATGAGCAATTGATATGTATTGTATAAGATACTAAATTTGAGTGCCTTGATAGACAAATTTTGGCTTAAAATCCTATATCGAGACTTCATGAACATCCACAATGAAAATGAGTGAGGATTAGAGAATTTGATCATAACAAGGGTACGATATGTGCCATGTTCCAATTGGGATATACTGAATTTAACCAGTAATCAAGTATCTTTATCCAATTATTTGAATTCTCATCAATTAGTTGAGAGTTCATCCAAACTCAAGAATTACAAATTATTATATGTTGTATAAGATAATAAATTTGAGTGTCTTGAATGAAACATATTGATATACGACCCTAAATGAGACGTGATAAACCTTCACAACATGATCTATGATTAGAGAATAAAAATATCATAATAGAGTGTGCTAACTATTAAGTATTAAGATTCACAAAACTTTAAACATATAGATAAATTAATTAATATAAATAATAAAATGAATTTCTCCGGCCAACGGGCTGGGTAAAAAACTAGTTAGGTATCTCAATTCATTCATGGTCTAGATTAATTAGATAGTTACCAAACCTATTTTGTGAATCTCGTCTCCTCATTCAGCGCAAACCACCACCTCACCGGAGAGTAGACACGATTGCATCTCCATATGACATTATATTAATATCTATAACGTTTTGGAGGTTGAGTTGCTATGATGACTTTGTGTATTTGTTATTTACTTGCATTTAGAGTATCAAAATTATGCGCGAGTGTTGGAATTTAGGTTTTAAGACAAAACTAGTTTTTCTCTCTCTTGATTATTGGTGCAAAATTTTTGTGTGATGGACCAAATAAATTCTTCATTTTTTGCTCAATGTGATAAGTTTGCTCCATATTGTCCAGGACCAGGCCGCACAGCCGGCACAAGCATGATCTAAACTATATAGTATTTGGTATGATCTTTGATATGTGCTCCAGCCCCTTGATCTAGACCGTAGACTGTATATACAATTCGGTCTTAACCGAACATCATTTACCATTTCTAATTGTGAGTGACATACTTTATTAATACTACCTTAAAATATCAAAATTTAATTGTCATATTCACTTTAAATTATGTTGACATTTTGCTCTCTAAATCTAGACAACTATATAGTGGTTTGAAATGGTTTGGTCCATACCGAATTATATTTAATTAATCAATGTTTGGATAAAATCATATTAGACCGAAGACATTACAGTCCAATCTTAGACCCTATAATTTTCATAAATACTATTAACTTTTTTTATCCAAATATCAAATCCAATCCAATCCTTAATTCTAAAAGTCTTTTACCATTTGAACCGCAATTCTCATAATTTGGTCCGTTCATAGTTCATACCGTACCCAACATTTTGCACACCCACAGGCTAGTGGCTACAGGCAGCTACCCCTTATTATCTCTTGCCTTTTTCTGCTATCAGGATTCACCAAATCACCCCTAAGGGCAGGATTCACAATTATTATCATATTCCTGGAACACCTGATCCGTCCTCGGATTTATCATCCACTAGTTTCCAGTTCCCCCAGTGGCGGGAAACCTAAGCCCAAAACCTCCGCCAGCCCGCCAAATTTACCAACGAAACCGAAAACCCAACCCCAAACATTGACTCAATTCGCTTTATATAAAATCAATCCCTCCACATTCCAAAGCGTTCTCCCGCTCCTTTCCTCCATTTCTATCCTTCAAATCCGCTTTCAAAACCCTAACCCTAAGCTCTGCGCGGGAGAAGAATCGCCTCGACAAGATGTTGGAACTCCGTCTCGTGCAGGGATCCCTTCTGAAGAAGGTCATGGATGCAATCAAGGACCTCGTCAATGACGCCAACTTCGACTGCTCGTCGGCCTCCTTCGCTCTCCAGGCCATGGACTCCAGCCACGTCGCCCTTGTGGCTCTGCTCCTGAGAGCTGAGGGTTTCGAGCACTTCCGCTGCGACCGAAACATCTCCATGGGCATGAATCTCGGGAACATGGCGAAGATGCTCAAGTGTGCCGGCAACGATGACATCATCACCATCAAGGGTGACGACGGCAGTGACACTGTCACTTTCATGTTCGAGAGCCCAAGTAAAATCTGCTGCTCCCTTCCCCTTAGTTACAGTTTTCAGCTATTTTTGTGACTGGTATTTCTGGTTGGTCGGCTGAAAATGTGGTGGAATTAGGGTCTTAGGCCTTCTTGAGATTTAGGACGGTTTGGAGGGAGGATATGCTTCTACAAGAACCCATTTCTTGTTCGGTTTTCCCCCCATAGAAAATGCTTTAGGTACATGCCGAAATCCGCTGATTCCATTCGGTTGGTTGCTTTTGCTTCCCTTAAAAGTCAGGATCTAGTTTAGTAAGTACTTGGAATTTGTTAATTTTCTGTCCATCAAATGCCTTTCATCCATGGCACTTGTTAGTCCTACAGAAGGCAGTGTGAATCATGTAAGATCAATCAGTAGCTGCAGCATTCAATGTCCTGATAGCAATTAGATAGTTTTAAAGTTGGAATCCTGATGCTAGCTAATGGTGTTATATATTTTTCTTTAATAATTGGAGTTGTCCACCATTGGTTTCTCCTAGTTTCAAGAATGGGATTTTGGATTGAAGCTAATTGTTCCTTGTAAAGACCTTAATACTCTTAGTCTCAAGGAAGATAGTGACATGTAGTTCCGCTGCATGAAAGCTTCAGAATCTGCTGCTGTGATAATAGCTGTTTATGTTGGAGAGGAAGTTGATTAAAAAAAAAATGCTCATATCTTTGCGAGATGTTGGTGCACATACAGTGTGTTTGTATTTCCTTTGAAGTCAGTTCCTGCTAGTCTTTTCTGACATTTATGCTTTCGGCTTTCGCCCTTCATTTTGACGCTGCAGCCCAAGACAAAATTGCTGATTTTGAGATGAAACTGATGGACATTGATAGCGAGCACTTGGGGATCCCAGATGCAGAATACCAGGCTATTGTCAGGATGCCTTCAGCTGAGTTTATGAGAATTTGCAGAGATCTTGCCACCATTGGTGACACTGGTAATCTCTTTTTCTATTTCCTTTCCACCAATTGTAGTATCTAGCTTTATTGCTGTTATGTTGGTAGCCGATTTTTGCATTTGCTTGTAGTCGTCATATCCGTGACAAAGGAAGGTGTGAAATTCTCTGCACGGGGTGATATGGGAAGTGCAAACATCGTCCTGAGGCAGAATACTACTGTTGATAAGGTATCTTTCTCCTCTTTGCTAGAGATATTGTAATATTGGAAAAGAAAGTTATAGTTTGATATCTTCAACAAACAACCACTGATGAGTTCCTTGTTATTTGATTTGTTTTTCCCAACAAATTTCAGCCAGAGGAAGCAACAATCATAGAGATGAACGAGCCTGTCTCCCTGACCTTTGCTTTGAGATACATGAACTCCTTCACCAAGGCTACTCCATTGTCCAATACAGTCACACTTAGTCTGTCTGCAGAACTGCCTATTGTGGTTGAATACAAGATTGCAGAGATGGGTTACATAAGATACTACTTGGCTCCAAAGATCGAAGACGATGAAGAGGAGACAAAACCTGAAGCATGATCCCCTGTTTCCCTGTTCATATATGATCAGTTTCTCGTCTTAGACAGACTTCAGTTTGCTCTCTAAGTTTTCCCGGATTTACTGTTGATGCACTGGAGAGTCTGTGTCATGCTTCTAGGTTGGTTTATGTGTTGATGCCTGAACCTTTCTAATGCTTGGTTCCTTACATAGCTGTTGATTGCTAGTCTGATGATACATTCATGGGGAATTAGTTAGTAGTTGTAACTTTTGAAATCGAATTGGTGTCATGACTGCAATCAATCATGTAGTTAGTTTATCTTTTGCCTTCTTTGATCTGAGTTTAATTCACTGATCCATCTGCCAAAGTTTTCACAAACACAGGAAGTAAAACATTAATCTAATGACGCCTTATTTTGGGTAAAAAGTGAATTGCTGCTGCTTGCAATCACTTAATTTACAGAAAGTGTAAACCCAGCAGAAAAATTATTACCATGTCCGTAGCGAAGAAGAAAATCTGAAATTGCCTAATTCTGCTTCCCATTTGATATCAAGATGGGCATCAAGTGTTCTTCCTGTTAATTATAAATGAATGCCAACGTTGGCATCTACTACTACTAGTCTACTACAGAAGGACTTCCCGGTGGGTTTTCCTTCCACCCTGCTCAACAAACAAAGTTAGTATTCTCTTGCGCTAGTTTCCTTTTTGTGTCTGTGTGATGGTGGCAATGTAAACGACTAAAGACTTGCTATTTGCTCCTTTTCTTGGCCTCATTGTAGAGGATGACCCCAGTTACAGTCACACTGTAGCCAAGCATTCCGGTGACCGACACCGGGTTCCTGAATATCAAAATGGACAGCACTACAGCCACTGCACCCTTTGCATTTCCCAGCACCTGCGACGAAAAGCAGAAAGTTACTGACAACTGTGAATGTAAAACTCTGATTCAGAAGATGATCATGATGGAATTAATACAGGGGGCAGGGCAATAGAGACCTGGAGAGTCAAGGCGCTGGTGTGTTTGGTGACGAGGAAATTGGTCAGGTTGACCAAGTAGGAAAGCGAAGCATTGAAGAGCAGGTAAAATAGGAACCTCTTGTCATCCTTGGCAAGTGCAATTGTGATCCCAACCACATCTTTTTCCATAATGAGCGCCGTCGGGAGAAGGAAGGCAACTGCCACTGGTGCCATGTACATGAGCAGGTTCATCGAGTGCAGCTTTTCCCTGCAAATGTCACAACAATTAGCAGCAAGCCAGAAAAGACAAGTGCAGAGCAGAGCAACCTACCCTTCAGAAGACAGCAAAATCCCCTGAAGCACCGTCTTGAGAGCCCTGGCAGCCGTTGCTCCGACGCACATTATGAACCCAAACAGATGAAAGCTCGGCTCCCCCTGGAGAAAACAAAACAAGCGGCTGAGAGACAAGAACAGGCAATGATTGCAAGCAACCTCTTTTCTTTCCTGCTTACCCCGCTGGCGACGACGACACCTGAGACGACAGGCACTAGGGCGGCGTAAGTGAGGAAGCCTTCCTTCTTGAGGGTCATCAAGTAGGCGAAGACGGCGGTGAAAAACGGGGTGGTGGCGCCGATTGCCTGGTTGAAAGACACCGGGAGGTACTTGAGCGAGACGTTACCGGCGACGATGGAGGAGCAGAAGATGAGCCCCAGAGCCGATATCTTGAGCAATTGCTGGCCGGAGCGGATGGTTTGGAGTGGGACGATCTTGAGCCACGTGATGGAGGCGTAGCTCAGCAACGAACAGGCCAGCATGTGGCAGAGCGTCAGGAAAATCGGGTACCGGAACCCGTAGTTGCTGAGCAGGTACTTGTTCAGTATGATCACTCCGATGTTGGACGAGTACCATACCGATATCAGCCCCACCGTGAACAGCCGACCCATCTCGATTTCTTTTTCCCCCTTTCGGAGAAGAGATAAACAAACAAAAAGGGTTCCGTTTTCTGATCTCAGAATCTGTCTGTCGCATCTATCTATCTATCTGATACGGATCTGAAATGGGCTAAGGTTATTAGGGTTCCATTAACTATGAATGAAGTAGGAGTGGTCGTAGCCTCGTAGGGTGGGGAAGAGGAGTTTTTGTTGGATTGGGTGTCTGCTGCGATGCGATTGCATCTTGGACGCCCTGGTTTGGCGAGGTTAACCAACCCTACAAATTCTGATCAAGGTTACTTATTTTACGTAACTCAAAACCATCATGAAGCACTCCCGCGAAATAAATTGATATATTAGTAACCGCAGATGGAGGACATAAGATTCCACCTCCACGTTACATAAAAATAATGTTGTCTCATATTGAATTCCAAGATTTTAACATGGTTTACTATGGAGTCTAACAAATCAATTGTTTGGTAGATTTGATCTCTTATATTAACTAGATTTTACTCGGTCCTTGACCGAATGAGTTTTGTTTTATCTTTTACATTGGTTAATTTATAATTATATTTAAAATATTTACTTGACCTGTTGGTCGGATGAATTTTATTTTATGTTGATATATTTTTTCATGTTTTACAATAATTTGAGGTTTTCTATAATAGCTAATTCATTATTTTAAAGTAATCTTTATGGTATTTGTTGATTATAACATTAGAGATAATTAGTTAATATGTATTTTTTATCAAGTCGTCCTAGTTTACTGTTTTGTATTTTCCCCCCTATATCTTAGAAGAAATTTGTGAACTTCTTATTATCGGATATAAATTTTGAGTTGGAAGGAAATATATGTCATCTAGAATTTTAGAAATTGAATGTATATAAAAAAATCAAGAGAATAAAGAAAAGATTATGCCTCAAAATCTCAAATATGGAAGAATACGAAAAAATAATGCTTATTGTATAAATTATTATGATTTAGTGTATATGCTTGTTTGAATAATAAGTGAGGGTTGTTAAGTGTTAGATACTAATGCACGTACCAAAGTTAAGAGAATCCAAACATTATAAAAGCTTAAATTCTACTCTAACAATATACTCTTTGACTTTCCATGTGGAGTTAATGACATAAATTGTCACTCTAATATCCATTTTTCTCAAATCTATCCCTCTATTATTTTTCAGATCAAACATGTCTTTGTAATATATAGTATATAAGCATTTTCAAATTAAATTTAGCCACTTTTATGTTTTATCTTCTCCATCTGCAACTCCCAATAATTAATAGCTATAGTCACATTCTCCATCTGTTCCGCTTTCTCTTCATTAGACCCAACAATAATTAAACCCAAAAACTTGTCTGTCACGAAAAAACTTGAAGACCGACTTTTGAATTTCAACCACTCTCTGAAATCCACAATTATTGATCGATTTGACTTAATCATAAAAATTTGAACACCAAATTTTTTAGAATATATGGATTTTAAAGATCAAAGGTTGTCAGCCCTGTTTAGCCCGTTGGCCCGGTCGATTAAGTGGGCTGAGGGTTAATGGTCATTCATTTTAGTCTGCTTTTGCCCGGATATATGAAGAAGTCATTATATTGTTCATGGTGGGGTCTTCTGTACACTCACTTTTTTGGGTGCATTCAGTGCACTCGCTTCATAACCGTCATTTTAAACTTGTGATTTATGTCATAATTAATGATGTCAATCATCACTTATGATGTGATGAACAATAACGCACATGAATTTGCACAAAAACCATTAAAGATTTACTTTAATTTGAAGAATTTAGAGTTTAAAGATTTAGTGTTAGGGTTAGGGTTTACAGTTTGGGATTTAGGGATATAACTCAAAATTGGAGGTCTAGGGTAATCCGCTAATTGGATGTTATAATATGTTATATCATCATATTACACTAATTCTACAAATTAAAATTCAAAATCCGACACCTTAAGACTAGTTTTTGAGTTGAGTGCATTGAACACACTCATTTTTGTGAGTGCGCCAAAGTAGTCACCTATTGTTCATATAATTATAAATTATATAAAATCTCATATATATATATATATGGATAATATTCTTCCTCGCCGGAACTATCTACATTGGTTTCTCTATCTGCTACTTTCCGCTATCCTCCTTCGAGCTCCTAAAAAGCACTGCAACAACATGTATTCATCACGCGACGAAGGTCGCACTCCTATGACGCCGGTGTGTGTCAGATGTGAAACTAATGAGGAACGGCCAAGTGAGAATTGAGTGTGGGGGTGCTTACAAGGGAAGGCAATATGTGATGGAAGGCGAATTCTGATAGTAGTCTCTTTGTCAACAGAATTGACTCGACGGATTTAGCTTACCAATTAGCAGAGTAGGAGCTAGAACGGGAGCGTAAGAGCGTATATACTTTGAGAATTATAATTTGAGTGCGCCGAAAGAGTGTGAATATTATATTATTTTAATTAATATATCATTTAACTTACTAACATTTTTAGTCAAAATATTACAACAATGCAGCGGAAAAATAAAAATAAAATAATTTTAGTAGGATAATAGTTTTAAAAAGAGAACAAACTTCAAAAGTTGAATAGAAAACCACCAAAGTTTACGATACTGTTTTTTATTTTTTATTGAAGTTTTTAGTTTTATTTTTTTAAAAGGAAAAGAGAAATGAATGCATCGTTTATCCACCCGCATGCACTTTTATCCACCCCCATGCATCGTTTCTTCCCTTTCGATTCTTTGTTTCCTAAGCCGCCGCTGGAGATCTCCTGTAGATGTACCAAATTGGCAAATTCTATATCATCAGTCATCTAACTAACCTCTTATCCTTTTATTTGCCACAAGCCCGTGATTTGATGATCTATTTTATAACCCCCATTTAAGAACTTGTGGTGTACAATTTCCTTCTTTGCTCTCCAAATCTTTGATGGCACCGCATGTATTCCTTTCTCCCACGAAGAAGCGAGCCATCGTCTTCGAGCCAAAGCTGTTGATTTGGCTATAACTTGTTTCATTTTACTTTGTTTATAGAAAGAAAAATCTCTCAAATAAGTGATATATGAAATAAAATTTGCGAACTTTGATTTTCGATGCTCAGATTTTTTAGTTTGAGCTACAATTTCTTTAGAAATTTGTAGTTTCTGAAAAATAATTGTGAAGCAAAAATATCATTTCTACTTTCACTCTTGTTGTAGGAAATTTGATGAGACAACAATTTTCTCATTTTAGTATTATATATTGTGTAGAGTGTATATAAAAACATGTCATTTCCCTACAAATTCATTAGCACGTTTAAAAAAGGTGAAGTGAACCAAATTATTAAACTCCTAATGATTGTTGGATCCAATCATGTCAGAATAGGAAGAAGTTTAAAATTTGACGGTTAGGTGAACTATAATGTTCAAAGAATCAGTCCCGTGTAGTTTACACGAAGACATGAATACGATT